TGTCTATTTTTTGTGTTCCAAGAACTTTTCTCGTTAGCTTCAAGATGACATTTTAATGAGGTTTCACTGCGTAGAAAACATGGGACGATTTAACCACCTCTGTCTGCTCCCTCCCTTCCTCCCTCCCTCTCCAAACTCTTTCTGAAATGAATTACCACTAGGGAATAAAGGCTTTTATGAGAATTTATGTCATTCGTATGGATGCAGGGGTGAGGGAAACGTCATTCAGCTGCTAAACCTTGGCATTAGAGCTTATGCCATTCCGTCTGTACCGTGTGGCAAAACTGCCTTGTTCAGACCAGTGCAAGTTTCTTCAAAAGCCGGGAGCCTGCTGTGTGTTTGTTTGTTTGTTTTGGAGTCACAGAGAGGGCAGCATAAAATAGCAGCAAGGCAATTCCCGTTCGGTAAAATGGAAGTCTTGCTGGCTCTTCATTCAATACAATGTGGCTCAAGAGGATATCCTGCCAACCCAATGATAACGAGGGAAATAAAGTCACTTCCTTACCAGCTGTTTGATTCAGGTAGAAAAAGGAAGCCTTTACTTCCTTGTGTTTGCTCTCCCCACCGCCCCCTCGGTCAGAAATGCCAGGCTGAAACTGCCTTCTCCCTCCGCAAGGAGCGATCAGATCCTGTGGCAAGTACGTACCTCTCTGCGGCCGAGAAGCTATGCCTTGCCTCTCAAGCAGGGGTGAAGGCTGCGTTGCAAAAGGACCGAGACTGAACAAACTCGGCTCAATGTACAAGCAAAGAATGCCAGTGTAATTAAAGATGACATTTGTTTCTTGGATCAGAGCTGCCGAATTTTGGCCAGCAGAAGAGCGGGGCAGAGTGATGCTTTGTTTTGAGACTGCCCTGACTCAGTGCACTATTACGCCTCCTAATCCTCTGAGGGTGACAAACTGCACTTTTGCCCCGGGCTCCCTGAAAATCCCAGGAACTCCAGCCAGGAATACGCTATGTCCTCCATGCATATAGTTGAACAGGCAAGAGGGCAGCCAGGGGTGCCCCCAGGGCAATATTCCTGAGCTGCCAGTCAAGCCCAGGTAGGTGAGGCAGGCATCTCAGGTGCTTTGGTGCCAGGAGGAGCTTAGGCAGAGCATCTTTCCCTTCCCCACTGCCACCCTTCTTGCTTCACAGAAACAGCCGAGATAAAGTTGCTAAGTAAACCAGCAATGGACTGATTTGACTTAATAAAAGCTTCTTAAGAAACTACTTTTTAAAACCTTACTGAGCTGAACGAAGAGTTCTTTTCCAGATAATTTTTAACTGCCCTGAAATAATTTTACATCCAGGATATAACTTTCCATTAACTTTTGAATAGGTAGGTCATAAAAGCAAGGCCTGCAACCATTTTCTTTCCAATTGTGCAAGACTTCAGAAAGGCTGACCAAGCCAGAACTTGCCTCAGTCTATTTGCCAAGGGGACCCTTGCTTTCATTATAAAGAGTGCTTTTCAGAGGACATCAAGTGTTTCAAGCAATTTTCCTAATCTTATTTGTTTTAGCAGAGATTCTCTTATTTTAAACAGACCGGTTTAGGCGACAAAAATCCAGTGACAAATACATGGGTTTATAGGAGGAGGCAAAACTTATGAAACAGTTGAGATTCTCTTTAGCGTTCTCTTTGTGCTAAAATAGCTTTCAGCAACGGGTCATACTTCCCCCCCCCCCCCCCTTCTTGTTTTAGTACATAAAATGGACATGTGTTTATTTAAAACAGGTTTGAAACTTAAACAAATAGTGACAGGCTGTTCAAACAAGCTTCGGAAATAGGCCTAATCAGGATGTTTGAGAAGGGGAGGGGGAATGATCATAAAGAGCTACTTGTAATATATAGTGCAGACACCATTAGGTTGGGTTCATGTTATTGTTGTAGTAATCTCAGATGAAAAAGTACTGCATGCTGCACATTTTTTGTTAACATTCCTCTTTTGAGCCATAGGTTATGCCATGCTTTTGCCTTGTCTTCAACTTTTACTGTAAGCCTCCGTCCATCATCATACCCAATGCCAGGAGCTCTAGCGAATCATTAGAAATGGTCTCCCAGACAAACTGGGAGGAATGTTCCTAAACTGGGACAGAAGGGAGGCACAAAATAAGATCATTTAGATATTGATACTGTGTATGCGTCGGCTGCCATGAATATACAGAAGTGAGACCTTCCCCACAGAAAGAAACCCTGAAAATCTTAACATTAAAATGTTTTCACATGACTTGCATTTCCATGTTGGTTTGTTGGGTTTTGGTTGGTTTGTTTTTTTTTTTTTTTTTCATTTCCTCTCTTTTCCACTCATAATAATATCATCAAGTGTTGAACTTTACCCCGTTGTATTTTTATAAGGCCTGATCTTGAACTCCCTGTACAGACAAAGCTCCCATGGAAGTCAGTGAGTCTGCACTGGCGACAACAGGATTTAGCCCAGTCTGTAACATTTTAAGATATTGTGTTACTTCATAGCCTTAAGGAGAAATAAAAGCAGCTTTCCAAAGAGCTGCACAGAAAACTGAGTGTGCTTTTTCAGCTCTGCAATAGCATAGCAGAATATTAAGGCCAGAGTTTGCAAATGTCCCAGGCAGCTAAGCAAAAGTTGCCAAATTTTCTACGGAATGAAGAGTTTGCATTAAAACATTTCCCCCAAAGGTTAAGCTGCTTTCACTTAAGAATATACCTTTGGAAACCCAAGTTTGAAAATGACTGCCAGGAGGAACAAGCATTGAGAAATAGCAAGAGGCAGACGTATTTTCAGGTCAATCTGTTGGCCAAAGCCTATTGCTATTCCGTTACTGACTCTTACCTACTGATACCCACTCTTACCTACAGCATGCACCAATATTACTTAAAGTAATAACATATTGTGGAAGTAAATACTTATTATTTATTTGAATCTTATTCAGTGTCTAGTGAACAGGAGTCAAAATGGCAAGATATTAAAAAACCTTACACGCCCTCTCGTGGTAAAACCACAAATGCTCTTCTTCTGACAATAACCAGAGATGGCTAATGATGGAGGCTAATTTAACTACATAATTTACAGAAAACTAACTTGGCTGGAAGGTTTATATTAATAATGGGGACCTTCCTGTCCTTAATTGCTGCTGTAAAGCATAACATAGATGCAGTTCTAGAAGGCAGGTTACCTCCTAGCACAGTAACATTACAAAACAGCTCAAGGCACTATAACATAAATAATGTTAACTTCTACCAAAAATGGGAAGTCTAGAGTAATAAAGGTAGAGATGGAACCCTCCACATTAGATAGCTATTTCACGGGTTTATCTCAGTAGTCTGGGAGCAGACCTCAATTGGCTGCACAATAAAAGGGTTGCCCTAAATGATGCTATCTGTTTTGTCACATTTTTAAAGTCATTCAGCTTTGCTATTTACTGCTTTCATGCCATACAGTGTGATTTATCTGTCTCTCAGGAATGCTCTGAAGCTTCATGTTTGTTAGGAATTGCAGCCTGAAAGGAAGGCGTTACGTGCAGAGTGTCACCAATCCGATCACTAACCCAGTCAAACCCCATTGTATTTAGGAGTCACAAACACTTTATCTTTGCTACTTAAACAGCCTTTCCTCTCAGTGCCTGCACGCACCTCCAGCCTCCCCCAGAGCAGCTTTACAGAACAGCTCTCCACACATGAAGGACTGCAGCTTGAGGGAGAAACCCAAGGTGGTTTGGGCTGGGCTGAGGGGGAGGACTCCCCTTACACCTCATGCCAGGTGACTTGTGGGCAGCCATGAGAAGTGGCATCACTGTGTGCCTCTCCACCTCTTTCTCTAGATGAACGTCTTGGCTGTAGGCTGGAGGGCCAGTCAGATTGACAAAACAATCCCATGGCTAGATGGCTCTTTTTGGGCAGGGCTGTCAGACCAGCGGGTTGGTCCAAGAGACCCTACAGCCAGACCACTGCCACATCCGAGGCGTGATTAGCTGGAGCACAGGACCAAGGTGTCACCTGTTTTGGTGACAGTTGTGGAAGACTGCCAAAGGTGTAACACAACCCTAACAGCTTTAGGTTGTATGGAAGAAACATCTGTGGCTACTACACATAGTCTTCTGAATCCATCTCAAGGGAACCAAATAAATACTGCCTTATTTTCAGTGAAGCCGACCAGCAATATAGATGCCCCATGTCCAGTGGAAATGAAAGGTTTGGAGAACGAAGGTCCGTTTACCTCCTTTGTGTATATTTGTATATACAGCATTCAGGAACCAAAATGCTGGTACTTGTATTTAAAAAGGCTCCTGCTGTATTTTCTGGGCATGCCTAAAGCAGAAGTCACAAGTGCAAGTAATTACAGCAATATTTGTAAAGAAATAGGCAGGAGAACTTTGTGCTAAGCACTGCACAAAAACATAGCTCCCAATCACTATTTTAATAGGTTCGTGGGGGGGTTTTTTGTGTCAGCATGATTGCTGGACAACCACTGAGTGTGAAGAAGGCACTCTCCCTCTTTGAAAAAGTTACTGCAATTCTGATATTCCATTATTTCCCTTCCTAGGATGCCTTCGTGGAGTTGTACGGCAACAGTATGAGGCCTTTCTTTGATTTCTCCTGGATCTCTCTGAAGACTATCCTGAGTCTGGTTCTGGTGGGAGCTTGCATCACTCTTGGCGCTTATCTTGGACATAAGTAGAGTCACCCAGTTTATCGTGGATTACAAAAGTCTTTCAAAGCAACAAAATAATATTTTTTTTTTCTGTAGCACAATGATATTTTATGAGCAAAACAAATTCCCAGCTAAAGATTAAATCAGCTATTACTGCCAAAGGAAATATCATTTATTTTTACATTGCAGGAAAATTATTTATTAAAAGATATTTACATTTTAACCTGCTATTTTCAGAAACTCTGCAAGTTGTATCTGTCATCACATCATGTTGTTATTCTTAACCTTAATAAGCCCCAAAGCTTTTTAGGTTCTTTTTTTTTTTTAATTAATGCAACTGGCTGGATTATTTTATCTCTGAAAAGCAAATATACTGACAAAGACCTACCTGCTTTCACTTCCAAGGGCAGTTACTTGAGCTGCTAAATGCTGCGTAATTGTGTTGATTTTCTTTACATTTTCTGGATGGCTGGGGATGATCTGAAAGACAAGGTCAGCATGAACAAAGTTGTCACCCTGTCCTGCTGGCAAGAACTGATGGGAGTAAAAGATTCAACATGGTACATATGCAGAGTCAAGATGGCAACTTCTCGAAGGACACCTGGCTATCCCTACAGGAGAACAGTTGGAAATATGATTGCCTATGCCTTGTAAACATGCATTTTCAAGTTACCAGTTGTGCCATCACATCATAATCACAATACCCTGATACATGTCTACTCAAATACTTTTTTTTTTTTTTAATGGAAGTGTGAAGTTAAATATTTGGGGCTTGAAGGAAATTGTTGTTCCAATGAATTTCTCAGCAGTAAAACGTTTTTTTTGCGGCTACTGACACAGAAACATCAGGAGACCTTAAGTGCCTGCTTCGACAGAGCAGAGCTGGAGTCTGAAGACCTGACCTGTGTCCCACTTTAGTGGGCTCATATCTGCAACTAATCCTGTTTACTTACTGAGTTCCTCCAGGGGTCTGAAACCAATTAGATGCGGTCTCTAAATCCCTGAAAGTTGAAAAAGATCTTAATTTTATTTGGCAAGAAGCAGACCTCAGCTGAGTTACAGATTAGCTCTGACTATCCTTGTTTATCAAACTGGACACCAAAATCAAGTTCATTTTCATAACAGGAAAAGAAAGTGAGCTTTATCCTCCTGCCCCTCGCCCTCAAAATTATTTCATGCTAATAATTTCCTAAGACTGTCTACAGAAGAAAAGATGATGAAGAAACTCCAAATCCTTTCTCTGGACAGAGACTCTTTGACACCTCGATCGCGCAGGTGCCTACTGTCGCTTCAAGCGAAAATAGGGTGGAGGAAAAGGGGGAAGGGGTTGAAGTCGTCTGCTCATATTACAAAATGCAACTCAAGTAAAATTAATGCAGAGTACTCAGTATACAGTTTTATAAACAGACCTGTGTCCTGAAACCAGATGTGTCAATGCATTTTAAAGCAGGGCTTTCTGTGCGCTCGGAGGGGGCCAGGAGTCCTGACGAAGCCGAAGAGTCTGAAGTGTGTCCCACGGGCTGCTCCAAGGCATGGAAATGTTCAGTTTCAAATGTTTAAACCAAGCGTCCCTATTTTTTCTATGAAACTTTTGAAATCTGGGATTTGTGGGTAAATGGACATCCAGACATAAAAAGAAAAGCTTGCAAAACTCTGGATAAAATGTACCTTACAATACATAAGTGCTCTAAGGGTGAAAAAAAATACAGTGAATAAACTGTAGATTCAACCTCAAGATTTCAGACGAATAACTTTGTGGCATTATATGCAAAATATCTCCATTAACTTGGGAATGTAATATGTTCAATGTTAAGGCTGTAGTTGATGTTGTGTCTTCAAAGCTGCTTTTTTGTTTGTTTGTTTGTTTTAAGAGGTGTACATCTCAGCATTTTTACTGCTATTTAGTCGTGGCACCTACACTTTGTATGAGCAAAGATGGAGCAAGCTTACATTTCAAATCTGAAATTACTTTTAATTTTATAGAAAAATAGAAAGTAAATATTTCTAAGAACACAAAAATGTGAAATATGCTTGATTAAAGAAACATGAAAAATCCTACCATCAAACAAAAAGCACCTGCCAGAGTTTTCAGAGTGCTTCTGTCAAAAGTGGGCATGCTCCCGTAGGGTTTGTATGAAAAATATTTTAAATGGGAGCAACCGAATATTGTGGATTAAGTGTGGGCTTTGTTTTTTTTCAGCTTCCAAGCCGAATTTGTCTGCAGCCAATTTCACAACTGGAATTGGCTGGTATCAAGCTGATGTTTCATTTCACAATCTAGTCTTCGTTTCAATTTGTGCCCATATGCCCATTAAAGTTCATGAACTATTAGACCTCAAATTGTTTCAATATTGTTTATTTTATTAAAGGTTTACATTTTCAAAAGTAGTAAAAGAGTAACTATCAATTCCAGTGCTGCTATACTACCAGGATAATTTGAATGGGTTTTATTTTTTAATACCTTCCAATGGCAAAAGTTTTTTAAAGCTGCTTTAGAAATAATATGAAGAAGACACATGATACACATTTAAATAAATACTGAGGATTTTGTGTTCTGTTGTGTCTATTCACTGGACTTCCCAGTGTACTAGTTAATACCAGACAAAAAGTCATGATGACTGTTAATGATTTTATTTTATTAAAGAGCTAATGGAGTTTTCCCATCCTGACTGCAGAATAGTACAGTATTGTGGCTGCATTAGGTATAATGATAGTTGATAATACATTTATTAAGAAACATATTAGAAACATTGAATGTATATAAAAGCTTGAACTTCTTTAATAAAATCCTCTCCTCTCACTCTTGCATTTCTTTTGCAATAATTCCTGTCTATTCTTCATTACACTTTCACATAAGATTCTTTTTTTCCACACAAAATACCTGATAGACTTCATGCTCCAAGACTATGCTTCAGTGAAAATCCATCCTCTGTCACTATGTATGCACACACACAGAGGTGACTGCTCCCAGTATATCCAAGTTGTAAAACCAAAAAAAATAAAAAAAAAGAGGGACACTTCTGAAGTTGTTTAGGTGTGGAAGATCGGAGGACAACAAAGGAAAAAGTCAAGAAGTAGAGGGAAACAAAGAGATCACTGAAATATCCCCTTGGTTAATGATGACTGTTACCTGGAATTTATTCATCTCTCATCCTTTCCATTGAAAAAGGATGATATAAGGGCAGAGTAAAAGATTACAGACACCCCACAATGGCTCTTCTCTATAAAACTTTGTTAATTCTGAAGGCAGTCTCTTGCCAAACAGGAAATCCATAGGAATTTAACAGAAATAGTTGATTTTGCTGTATTCAATTTATTTGTTGTTATTCTTTTTCACTCCATTTATTAAGAAAATAATGAAGGAAGATGTTTTGCTTATGAAAAATAATCTGTAAGATCACCTAAGATCTGGTATAGATCAGTACCTTAGGAACAGATGGAAAAACAAGAAAAAAATTCTGCAAGTTAAGTATTCTGAAATCAGAGCTGACACAGAGGACATTTCTTAATAGAACAAGCACTGGATCCACCAAAGGAGTAAAGGGGCTGTCAAGGTAACAGAGAATATACAGATAAGGAAGGGGGCTGGAAGATATAGAGAATGACATTGGTATGTAAGGAAATCTCGAGTTTCATGTGATGCAGGAGTTCACCCAAGATGGTCTGATAATAAATTTTAACTAAAACCAGTTACAAATGTGTGCACTACATGACTACAATTACTAAAAATTTTCAATCACAAAATTACTTGTAAATTGTTGCAAAATTATCCAATCACTATAAAAGTTCATTGATTTGCTGTTGTGATTGGGGATTACACAGCCTGAGTAGGGTGGCACTAATAAGGAACAATTATGAAAAAGCAACTTTTCTCTGAAACCAGATGTGTGAAGGAACCATGAAGGTGATGCAGTTTGAAGAACACAGACCCAGTACCCCCAATCCTTGCATGCACACAGTCTCCCCAGCTGAGGCAGTGGGAGTCAGCTAGATGTAAGGACTGCATGCTTTGACCCCGAAGCACGACACTGTGCTTAGCTGTGCACCTGCACTCCACAAACCTAGAAGTCTTACTGATTAAAAGTATAGTGAAGTAGAATGTTTAAAGCCTAACTTTTTTTTTTTTTTCCCCTCTCTCTCTTTAAACAAGTTAGCAAAATGACTCATTTGTATTAGGAGTTTATGGCTCAGTACTATATGAAAAATTAAACATCTTTTGACTTATGAGTATAAAAAAATTCTTTCTCATTGCAGAAGCCTAGCTTTGTTTTTCGTTCATATCTCTTTCAAACAAGGCTAAATACGAGGAAGACAAAAGAGCTAATTTAATCTGTATTTGGTTTAAATCACACTCCTATACTAAGTTAATGCAGCTTCATCACATAATGAAATATTTTTCAGTTATACAGCATTAAGAATTCCACACAAAACCTGTATATTTTTATAATTTAAATAGCCTATTTTTTTTTTCTTTTTCTTCTGAATATTTGAATTTTAATTATCACCAGCATAGATGTACATAAGCAGATATCGTTTATCCAGTACCTTTGGATGATGTATGTATGGTAATGTAGTTTGTCAGTTTATCATCATTTAATATGATTATGTTGTTCTTTGTCTTTAAAATGTTATAAGAACATGCTGCCATTAAACTTTCCATGTCTGTCTAGTTAATATTGTGAAAAAATAATAAAGCACACTGTGAGTTGTTTTGCATTTGCATTGTTAAGGATTTGTTGATAAAAAACTACTCAAACATTTTGAGTGTAATCCCATAAATGAAACATGTTTCCTTCCTGATAGTCCTGTTGACATGTTCTGCTCAATATTGGCCAGTATTCGCCACCCTTCCTCCAAGGCCTCTGTGCACTGAGATGCAATAACCCAGGTGTGATAAGCTGCTGCTCCGTGAAATACAGCCCACAGGTGTACCACACGCTTTGGGACCCGAGGACAGTGTCACCCATCCTGCTGTCCTATACATCTGATGTCTTGTAGAAAGTAAAGCAAGACTCTTCTGTTTATCTGCTAAAACTATTTTTGGTCCTTGTAGACAGGAGCTGGAAGAGCATATTTTAGCAAGTTTCAACAGGAAAAAAAGAAGTATTTTTGTTACTGCTGAAGGTTTGTTACAGTTATGATTGGTTTCCAGTAGGTATTTTGCTTCTTAAAGGCTCCTATTAACTGGCCCTCAAATCCCAGTTGTTGTCATATATCTTCTGTGGCTGTAGTTCACCTAGGACACAGCTAAATGAGCTCAGGTGATGAGTATTTAACGGCCCTAAGAATTTACCCAGCTTAATGAGTGGGTTTTGCAGCCTAGAGTGTGTGCATTGTGCTGTCATGGATGCACTCTGCTGTGAGTGCCTCCAGTTAGTAGTTTAATGCCTTTCAAGGACAATGCAAAATATCTATCCCTCTGTCTGTGTCCCTGAAGACAGGGAAGGTGGAGGAAGTCAGCCTGAAACCAAA